ATACCAGCGATGACAGGTTAAAATGTCAAGTTGTCATCGAAGCAAATTATGATGTTAAAGAAATCAAGACTACTCAAAATCAAGCTATCGATAGAGCGATACTTTAAATATACCTGTAAGATGAGTTATTTGTGAGAAAGCATTCAACATCCTCAGGTATACTGGTTCATAAAATTAATAAATTTTGGGTGATTAAAAAAAAGTAGCTCCAGCAAAAGTAAACACAAGTTTATAGTCGCTGAAAATTATTTCAAAACGAAATTTTTTGGCAGAAAGTTATACCTTGATTGCTTTTAAGTTTCGGGTTTTKKCAAATTTASTATAGCAAYATGGMAACTCACAACTTTATTATAAAGTTTGGCAAAACTGTTGCTATACATACACAGAACGTTACATATCAGCACTATATTCTATAGATATGAATTCGTTTTTTAAGTTACTTTATTTTAATACATTATGGTATGAAAGGTATTATGATACAGTAACTCAACATATTCATCTCGGGGGAAAAAATGAAAATAAATCGCGATCGTAGTGAAAGGTTGCCAGAAGTCTTTCAAGAAATGAGAAAAACGTAACGTCGAAACCGAACAATGCTAGCTCACATAAATCGACTGAAACAACATCTAACGATTAGAATTGATAAGTCATCCACCTCATTCTCCGTACAGTCCTGATTTGGCACCGAATGACTACTATTTATTCCCTAGTAGTTCAATGGTTTTCGATCCCTGAAGACGCGGTTTCAAAACGCATATTTTGGAGATACCTGCTACAGAGCGGCAAAATTGTTTCGCTAATCGGTTGGTACAGCACTTGAGCGTTATAGACTAGTTCCTCGCCCACAAAATGGCATTAAGCGAAAGCCTTTGGCACAAAGGAAAATAAAAATGAAATAAAATTCTGAAAAAGTGGGCATGACCCCGCCCTCTAATTGATAATGCCAAAATGGGCTAAAYCACTAAAGTTACAAAAACCAAATTTGTGCGGCACAAATCCCTTAAGCACCCCMCTTCTCATACAACGATACTGTTAAAACAATAACTAAATATGAAAGACGCATACAATTTTACAMTCGAAATGATGTGAGAAGGCTCAATAGGAGTCGGGTAAAAATTGGACGTTAGGCGCGGCACCACGCACTTTTACGTAAACTCACATATTTCCACAATACAGTTTTATACAAGCTAGTCGGCTGAAAGTGCGTATGTGGTTAAAAGAATGGTCATGACTTCCCTGGAACTAAACATTGTACAAAACACCGTATGTAATTATTTAAATAAATACAAAAACAAACAAGTTCTTGGCAATACTCCTCGTGCTCAGCTGTGAATTTTGGTGCTCTGTCGAATTTGTTTAATTTATATTCAAAACTCTATTGTGAAAATATTTGGACTAATTAATCGTTTAAGAGTGTATATAAGTATCAGTGTTATATTGTGCCATTGAAGCTATTAAATTTACTTTAATTCTGTGTTGGCTAATTTAAATTGATTGTGMYGAGTCATTTTCAATTTTTTTTGTTGCTACATTTTAAATAGTGCAATTGTTAGTGTTAATTTATATTGCTTACTTAAATTTCCTTCTTGTTTTTATTCGTTTCCATCTTTGTCCACAGCTGTTCGCGAGTTTCTTACTTTTCGTGTATTACGAGTACAGTGCATCTCAAACTGCTCGCTACATTGGTTGTTATCTTCGATAACCAACTATTTTCATTGCATTCATTTGTTATAAATACTTTTTTTATTGCTCCTTTTACTTTTATTATTTAACATTTTTATATTATATTTTTGTTTAATATTGTTTTTGTTCATTATGACTTGTAACTTTCCGAACTGCTCTGTGAAAGGCGAGTCGGAACGCTTTGTTTCTTGCTGGCTTTATGATGAGCTTGCCCATCTTAAATGTGCCTGACTGACAAGTAGGATCTTGGATTCTATTCTTGACAGTAAGGGATTGCGCTGGTCTTGCTTAAAATGCAGACCAACTGAAATTGAATTCTTTAAGGTTTTTAAGCAAGCGCGTAATGGTTTCAAAGAGATTGGTAGTGAGCTTGAAACCCTTACTGAAAAATTTAGGTGTTATGAAACGCTGTTTCAATCGTTTCAATGCCTAATTCTGATTTGACCTCATTAATCTTTCATCCCCTTGTCCTCAAGGAGAGAAGGTTCCGTCTGCTCAGGACACTGAGAAAACTGCTACTGAACACGGTAAGCGGAAAACATCTCAAGATCCGCATCCAAATACCTACATGTCAGCTAATAAAAACTTAGTTGTTATACCGCGGAAAAACGTAAATTTTGTCTCGAGATTTGCTGCGGATACCTCAATCGATGATATAAAAAGTTACATCTCGTCGAAATTAAAAACGGCGGTTACAGACGTCCGTAAATTTGATTTCGAGTACAACCGGGATATTTCGTCGTTTAAAATTGACGTATCCGCTGACAGTTTTCAATTAATACTTGACAACTCATTCTGGCCATCTGGGGTCTTTGTGCGCGAATTCGAGCACAAATGTGATAAGCCCCCTGTAGTTATCACTAAAATGCCAAGAAACTCCGTGAATACAAAAAAACTAATTAACAACAATTCGCTGACTATTTATTATCAAAAAATGTAAAACGATGTGTTTTTCACATAGATCTGTAGACCCTACTTTATATGCAATACAAAACTTTAGGTTAGAGCAAGTATGTTGTTTTGTTGATCTTGGAGTAACTATGGACCCAAAACTCAATTTTAATCTTCCCGCATCTTCCACGGTTTTTAAAGCTAAAGGCGCTCTTAGTTTTGTTAAGCGTCGGTCTAAAGAATTTAGAGATCCGCTTACCWMAAAWWCTYTTTWYASMTCT